ATTCCAAATCTTGCATGTTAATATGTGCACAAATGCATGCAAATCCTGTATTAGGGAGCACAGCAGAGGCATCACATGGCCGTGCAGGGCCATGGCATTCCAGCTTCTCGCTTTGTCTGGAGAGGGAGCTGCTCCCTGATACAGCCCATTTATTTCCATCCCAGAAGAAACAAGTGAGAAGCAGAGATAAGCACCCGCTGGTGGGTGATAAGGGCTGTTTACCGAGTTCCTTCTTTGTCCAAGAGGAATTTTAACATTTCTGCCACAATTTTAAACTCTGCCTTCATTCCTGCTGTTGCTGGGAGGCGTTGGGCTCTGCCTTTTCTCAGAATATTTGTGGATCTCAGCCTGGGCAGGCTTTGCCTTGGTGCTCTTTGCTGTGTTATGTTCTGCATGCCCACTCACTGAACGGGAGGAGAAGAGCCCTGTGGCCAGGAGCTTTTCCTGCAGGCAGGGGCGTGCTGCCTTCAGCATCCTAGGGAGTCGCATCCCAAAAGGCAGACATGCAGGCTGTTCCCTGGGAGAGGACAGCTTACCTGACTCCTTTGCTGGAGCTACACACTGTTGGCAAGGACCCCCTTTGCCGTGGTCACAGGCTGCCCTCCATCTCTCTTCCCTGACTTTTCAGCTCTGCTCATGCTTTCTCGAATTGGAGTCTGCTGGTTTTTCACAGCAGGGAGACCTCATCTCTCTTCAGAAAGCTGGGGTCATGCTCACAGCTCTCTCCAGAGCCTCTTGCACAGCACTAGTGTTTTCAGCATGGTTTAGCTTTTTGTTGATGCCATTGCTGAGATGAACGGGCTGCGGGAGGCTCCAGAGATGCCAGAGGCTGTGCTTTGCTAACAGGGTTGTACAACAAGGGACTGCCTCATCCCAGAGACCTCGCAGGTCAGTTGGCTTCCTGTCGAGGTCCACGTGGGTGGACCAAAGCTGGGAGTGTACTTCAGCATCCCAAACAAGAGGTACTTTGAAGCCATGTTCTCTCCTTGGTGTGTTGGATTCCTGTTTGCTTCAGATTCCCCTTGTGTACCTGTTTTCATCTATAGAGAGAAAAGGGCTGGCGTGGGGCGGTGGATCTATTCGCACCTTCCTCCTGCACCAGTGTGTGGGTAGGGATGTGACTGGAAGTGGGCTTAGAGTCTCCTCTGAGGAGAGGACTTGCCCACTGTGCCAGGAGCACCACGTAAAAGCAGCCAGTGCAAAATAAAACACATCCATCTTGTAACTTCACTGGCCTTGAGGAGAAGAAATTTTTCAGTCTGTTTCTGAGACGTTGCTGCTTTGTACCATGTGAAGTCAATTCAAGGCAGGCTCCTTTCCAGCTAAATCTGACACCAGGAAATGTTCTTTTTCTCCCCATTTGCTTCCCGCCGTCCTGGCCCCAGTACAGGACAGCTCTGTGTGCAGCTCTGTGCAGAGCAGCCCTGCCGATGCTCCCCAGCCCGTGCCTCCTGCAGCAGCCTGCCTGCCGGCTGGCTCCCACTTGCCTTTCCTCCCTGTCCACAAGCTACAGCTGCTTAAAAGCTCCTTTATTCACCCTGTGTGCTCACAGCCATTCATGCTGTCAGCCATCCTTGCTTCGTTGTGCTCGTGGTATCTCTGATTCTTCCCTGAGACAAGCTTGCAGACCTGGGATGGGAGCAAGATGGAAAGGCTCGTGAATGAAGACGGGATTTCCAGACAGTGATTGGTGTTAATTTATTCTTCCTAAATAAAACCTGGCTGCCTGCACTCTTCTCAAGTTGTGCAAGGCTGCAGAGGTTGTTGTTGCTGAGGCTTTGGTGGTGGTGAGGCTTGGCCAGAGCCAAGCTAAGGGGTTTCTCTTTGGAGGAGGTGCCACCGCCCGTGGGCTGCAGCTCCTTGTCCAGGGTGAGGTGTGTGACACACGGATGGGCTGAGCATCTGCAGGCTGTGCTGCACTTCCTGCAGTAGGGACTAAGGAGCTGCTGGTGGCAGGAGCAGCCAGGCAGGCTGCCAGCCATGGCCCTGCTCCTCTCCAACACCCACCAGCTCACCTCTGTGGCACCCACATTGTCACTGTGGTCACTGCAGGCACAGGCGAGTGCTGACACGTGCATTGTCTTGCTTTGTGCTGCTCTGCTCTGAGTGCAGCAGGGGAAAAGGTTTTTTTCAACCTCATCTCACATTTGAAATGTACATTCTGATATTAAATTTTTGCTATGGGGAATTATTTTTAATTATAGTGAGCTGGAAGATGATAAAATAAAGTTGAGTAAGTGAGACCTATGTGAAGAAGTCATGGAAACCTGATCACAGAAGTGGAAAGACACTCCTAGGACACTGGGTATTGTTCCCATGAAACAACATATCCTAATGTAAAGAAAATTGTAATTAAAGCTGTTAATCATCTGCTTTTAATGAGGGGGAAAAAGCTGAATATCTGAGACAAGATCTTGAATTTTGTACAGCTTGCCCAGGGCGGTGGCAGAAGCCCCATGCCTGGAGATGGTCAGGTTTTAATGGTGCAAAGTTGTCCTGGCTTGGGGACATCACTACTGAGTAGACAGGCTACCTGTATTGTTTTCATCCTTTGCTTTTCTGACTAGAGCAGCCACTCGCCAGCTTGCCTGGGATGGGGCAGGAGGGAGGGTGGGGTAAACCAGCTTCCTGACCCGTCCTCAGCTCCTGGCTGTACCAGGTGTGAGCTGGGGGGGTAGGAGTGATCTCTGGGGTCCAACTGATCACACATCTCACCTATTCAGTCTTTGACACTGTTATTACAAGTCCTGATTTATTTAATTTATTAAAAGCCAAGATGTCTGATGCTCTCCTGCCGTGTCCCATCTCCTGAAGGGGATGTATCTAGCGTGGGAAGGAGGAGGAAGCCTGTGCCTGGCTTTGTCCTCCTTTGAAGCACACGATCAATATCCCAAAAGTCAAAATTTGGTTAAGTCCTGAACTGCCTTAGAATAACTAACTCTAGGGCCAAATCTGGAGCTCCACGAATTATTCTTAAAATCTTGTTTCCTATTAAGCTGCTTTTAATCGTATCACGAAATGAGATGGAAACAGCAGTGATACCAGCGACTTTGCTGAGGCAGGTACCCCTTCCACACCCGTCCACAGTAGCTGATTAATTAAAATATTCACATGAAATGGTACCTTGACTATTTTTTAAAGAAACAGCCAGAGGTGATGCCGAGACTCCCCGACTGGACGCAAACCAGACGCTGGAGTGTGTGGGGGTTGCTGTGTGGTTTAGATCTGATGAAAGGCAGGAAATGGGAAAATCTGGCAAATCTCCCTGGCTTGACTTAACGGAGCCTCTTGACTTTTGCTAGAGTGCGTTTTTTGTGCTGTAATGGCCAAATGGAAATTTAGACTTGAAGCTGGATCCGAGCTATGCTATGCTTAGCTGGCTTGTACACAGCAGTGAAAGAGAAGGAAAGGTGTTTTAAAATTCCAGCCCCTGGGTTTAACTATTGCTTCCCTCTGAATTTCTTGACTTTACCGCAGAGCAGAGAAACCTGCAATAGCAACTGTACATTTTCCCTTGATTTTGTGTGGTACCTTCTTATTCCTGAGATGTCTCCCTTCTGCTACCCAAGTGAAACCTTATCTCATTCCTCAGAAGTCAGTGGTGCTTCATTAGTGCAAATTAATTCAGAATCCTGTGTGGTTGTTCTAAAATAGATACCATTGACCCAGCCTGTGGAAAAGCATGGAGTTTTCAGAAATAGAAGCCAATTTATCAGCATTCCCTTTAACCTCTTTTTCTTTGTCAGGAGATGTTTTCAGCCGGGTTTGTCCTTCACTGTTACCGTGGTGAAGGGGTGTGGTGATTAGAGGGATGGAACACCTGTCCTGTGGGGAAAGGCTGAGACAACTGGGATTGTTCAGCCTGGAGAAGAGAAGGCTCCGTGGTGACCTTATCAGCCTTTCAGTACCTGGAGGAGCCTACAGGATTGCTGGAGGACTTTATACAAGGGCATTGTGGTGTTAGGACAAGGGGGAATGGATTTAAACTGAGGCAGAGTAGGTTTAGATTGGATATTAGGAAGGCATTCTTTACTGTGAGAGGGGTGGGGCCCTAACACACATTGTCTGGAGAACTTGCAGATGTCCCATCCCTTGAAGTGTTCAAGGATAGGCTGGATGGAGCCCTGAGCAGCCTGGTCTAGTCAGAGGTGTCCCTGCCCATGGCAGGAGATGTTGGAACAGAATCACCTTTAAGGTTCCTTTCAACCCAAACCATTCTATGAGTCTGTACTGTCCTGGCAGCCCTGCAGGTAAAAATCCAGGTTCAAGCCTGTGAAGAAAATCTGTCACAGGCCACAGGCGGCAGGAACAGCCCCTTTAAAGAAGTATTAAGGACAGCTGATAGTTGCAGTGAATTAAGCTAATGGCTCTTGAATGGCAACCTCTGTGGGCTATTCTTTCAGTTCTTGTGCTTTCCTTCGGTGCTGCTGAGCTGTGGTGTGTGCCACCGAGCCAGGTGGTTAAGATTCCATTGCAGTGTGACTCTGGGCTTTGTAGCCTCCCTTAATTTAATTTAGCTTTATATGTTCAGACTATAATCAATTTTTATGCTACTTTAATAAGCAAATTTATGCTATCAGCATGCTAAAGAGACTTGTCACTCACAGTTTCCCAGTCAATCCACCATTTCCCATTTTAGCAAAGTGCTCAGTTGTCCTAAATTCAGTAATGACTGCAGTTCTGGCTGGCAAGTTGACCCCCACCAGGCATGGCCTGTGCCTGTGCTGGCCCCTGGAAATACTCTGCGTGGTGCATTAAAGGGACAAGCAATTGCATATCCCCGAACATTGGGCAGTCTGACTCAGATGGATTGCCAAGTGTTGTTCCAGCAAATATGGAGTTTTATTTCCACATAAGAGAGACAAATCCTCTGTTAGAAAATGCCTGAGGATAAGAAAGGGTTGAGTTTAGTCTCTGCAGGCCAACGACTGGCAGGAATCACATTCTGATTTAAAGCTCTGCTCACCAGGCATCTCTTTTTCTCTCTGCTCACCTTACAGGAAGATTTGCCTTCACTGTAAGTGCTCCCAGGAAGAGCACATTGTAACAGTTATGCCTTTGGAGATGGAGAAGACAGTCACGAAGCTCATGTTTGACTTCCAGAGGAATTCAACTTCTGACGACGACTCAGGCTGTGCTTTGGAGGAGTATGCCTGGGTGCCCCCCGGCCTGAAGCCTGAGCAGGTAATGATGACCACCCAGCTACCAGAGAATAATTGGTTTTGCATGTCCTTTCAAAATAGTTGACCTGATTGTTTTTTTCTAGGGGTGCAAGCACTTGTTGTGTGTGGTTGTTTCTGGGTGCACTAGAGAGGCTTTGCAGGGTCTGAGTGCTCAAATGGAACAAAACAGACATGTGATCCTTGCAGGACCTGTGGTTTGCTGCGTCTGTGGATGTAATTGGTAATTGAGAGGGGGGAAACAAAATACCTCCAGGATGGGATTTCTTGTGGTTGTGCAAGGGAAAAGACATATCTAATGTTTCACTGGGAAAGAGGCGATGGGACTCAAGTGTTTCCCAGGGGCTCAGTGTTGTGTTCTGCCCTCCTGGACTGCTCTTCTCTGTGGTGAGTCCAGGGCAGACAGTCAAAGCTGGTAGATAACTCTGAAAAATGGGCCAAAAGCTTTGTGGTTTGGGTTTTCCTAGTATGATGTTTATGCCTTGCTGGAAGGAATAGCTTAAATAAAGCTCAAGTCTCTTGGTGCAGGATTGAGTGGGATGGATTAGACCTCAGTGTGCTCTGTGGAGCGTGCATTGATTCTGCTCCTTCCAGTTTACATGATTCCTTTGATTTTTTTACGCTGGTCCTTTATATGTTCAAGTCAGAACTTCCATTTGCAGTGGAGATGGTAAAATGAGCTTAGTCTTGATAATTGCAGTATGATATGATATGGCAATAATTTTAAACTGTAAGGAGGCTGGAAGGGGGTGGAAAGCTTTCATTCTTACTGCCATAGTTGCTGTCCTTAAGTGCTGTGTTTTCCTGTGCTTTTATTCAGACAGGCTTAGGAATTTCCTGAAATATTTTGGCACCACCCGTAGGCTGTAAATATTATCTGTCTGATTAGAGAAAATCCAGTTGTTTGGTAGCTTGTTTCTTTTTTTTTTTTTTCCTTGTCTTTACAAGCCTTGCTCAGTGCTTACTTGAAACTCCACAGCACCATGTGTTTCACTTGGTGCCATCCAACCATGCAAATCAGGCAGCAGCCTTATTTTCTGTCACCTCCCTTATGTCAGAGGCTCTCTTTTTGCCTCACAGGAGGTACAAGACGTGGTGTGTGAAGAAATGCAGATGGTTCTGAAGTGGCTTTGCTGGTCCTTCATGCTGTGACAATGTGGACTGGTTGGGTTTGGGGGATCCCATTGGAGGGCCACCCCCAAGCTGGTGCCACCTGCTCTCATTGCTGGTTTCTGACCAGACGTGTCAGCAGCTTCTGGAGCACAAGCTGGCCCATGTTCCTGTAGCTTTGGGTGGAAATACTGGTATTTTGTGACAGGTGGCACCTGACCAGGTGTACATGGTCTCTAATGAGTACATCATGGCATGGGTAGTGATTGAAACTCACTTTCAGCATGAAGGTGGCATATTCCAGGAGACCCGTGTGCTTCTTTGATCCCTTAGGTGCTCTTTAAATGTGGCATCAGGGAGTTTGGGATGCTCAGGAGGAAATGGAAGTCCATTAGCTCTCCCAGTAACTACTGACATCTCATGCATTACTCAGGTTAATGTAATTTTCGGTTCTTCCAGCATCTGTTTCTTGCAGAGGTCATGGTGCTCCTCAGTCCAAACACTTGTTTTGTCAGTACATTCCTCAGTCTGCATCACTGGGCCTTTCTGCAAATTTGCCACTTCAGACCTGTGTCTAATCACCATGGAGATAAAGATGAGCCATAAGCAGAGCCAGAGACAGGCTCTGAAATCCACCCAGCAGAGCTCATGTGCCAGCCCTGTCATAACTTTTCACGTGTTGGATGAGCCACTGAGATGACAAAAACGAGGTGTGACTTCCCTGGGCTGTGCAGGAGCCACACTGCAGGCCTGGCCTTTATCCCTGGTGAAGAGCAGCACCCTGAATTTCATGGAATCACAGAATGGTTGTCCCATGGCTGGGGATGCCCCATAGTGCAGGAGGGGCCATTTACCTCCCACAGGGGTAAGAGATGCCTCTGCAGCAACTCACTGGGGACGTGTCAGTCTGCAGGCAGATGTGTGGCTTTTTGGTCACTGAGTCAGGTGTGTGCACGTGGTGTGGAGCCTCTGCAAGGCTGGTGCCTGCCATGGAGCAGCTGGTGGGCTCTGCCCTGGCTGAGGGTACTGCTGTCAGGCTGGGCTGAAAATACAGATTAACAGACAGGGAATTTTTCTGTGCCTCCTGCTGTTTCGCTGTTGTATTTTTTTGGATGTGAAACAGATTAAATGAAACAACTTTTTCCGCAATATTCTACTTTATTAAAATCTCAGTGCAGTATATGAACTGGGGAGGTAAGTGTTCCCCTGAAAGACTAATGCAAATTTCTTATTTTACTTGGACGACAGCCTCCCTACCTCACTATTCTTGGGAGACAGCGCTCATGTCTCACTCAACACTGCAATTTACAGGATTTCAGTGGGGAGGAGTTGGCCTGCAAACATGACATTGTTTTTTGGCAGTGTCCAAAGGTCATTTCAGTATTTGAAGAATCCCTTCAATCCAAAGCTTAAATTGCTGTCATATATAGGGGAATCGACTCAAACCTATAAGGTCTCACTGTACTCCTGGATATAACTCAGGCCTCAGCTGGTCTGTGGTACATGCCATAGTGAAAATCATGTTGGTTACTCAGTGCCAGTACTGAAGACAAAAAAAGCATTGGTCCGGTGTTCACAGATACTGATCCAAACATTGTAATGAGGAGTGGAGCTGGAAGTTATCCCTTATATTATGGCTCATCAGTGTGTAAAACTAAAAAGTCTTACAGTGTGTAAGGTTAAAAAGGGCTTTACTCAAAAGTCATAAATGTAATATATTTCTAAATACGTTTATAACACAGGGATTAGGATAGTAATTTAAAAGGTATGATAAAAATTGTTCTGGTAGACCAACTAAAATGTATGACATGTCTGCTCAAGAAAGAGGGGCATAAACTGGAAGGACACTGGAATTGTTATTTCATTGAGGAGCCTACAAGAGCTTAGTTTGTCCAGCCTAGCAAATTGTTCATTAGAATTGTTCTTCCCCCTGTTCATTAGAGGGGGAAGAGCAGTTATCCAAGAACATAGATCCAAGAACTTCAGCCCAAGAACATAGACATAAACTGTCTCCAAATGCATTCAGGCAGGAAATTGGGAGAGGTTTGAGACCATCAGAGGTGTAAGGCTCAGCAACAACCTGCAAGCCAGGAAAGTGACAGGTAAAATCCCAGGACTGAGCTCCATAAATCACAATGTGATAAGGAAACAGAGTTCCTTGTGAGGATGGCTTGGAGACTCCAGTGGGGTCTAATCCCACTTGGGCTGGATTAAATGAGAAGTTGTTTTATGGCAGAAGAGGGACTTCTCTTCTGGAGGATAGGGATGCAGATGGGAATGGCAGAGATGGCTGTACAGAAGCAGGGACATGGGCTTTGTGAAATGCTCTTTTCTTCTGCCTGCAGTTCAATGGCTGGATAAAGAAATGTGTCAAAGTCTTGAAATGGGCAAACACCTTTAGAAGTGTGTCCTCAGCAAAGCAAAATCCCAGGCTGAGCCTGGCTGCAGAGACAGAGGAAGACATCTTTGGGAGCCAGTTTGTCTGCTGGGGCTGGCAGTGTGACAGCTGATCCTCCTTGCACTGACATAAGTTTGAGGGCAGATGCTTGAAAATAAGTCCTTTTGTCTTTTTCACATTTTTAGGCAAGGCATGTGTAAATACATGTGAATGTGCAGCCTTGAATTCCTTGGGCCTGTGGTTTGGAGAAATCCAGAGGGGTTATAACATGCCACTTTGAATTTCTGAATACAAGGGATTTTTTAGGATTTCTGTCTTTATTGTGTCTCAGTATTAGGAGCAGCTGGTTATGGGCAGAAATTTCCAATTAAACAAAAGATGGGGCTCTACTTCAGCCTTGCTGTGGCTTTTTTGTATGGCTCTGGCATGCCAGCATCTGAGACCCTTGCATGTGCTGTAAGAACTTAATTCCCTCTTGTTGTCAACACAGTTGCTCTGGTTGAGTCCCTTAAAAAGTTATGAAAATATCATCTGAGCTAAAATTAGCAGCATGAAGGTTCAGGGGACCATTTTTCTCTAAGGCAGCCATTAGAGCTTGGACCTCAAGAGCTTGGCAGTGGTGTGAAACTTGTAGCTGTCACAGGGAATTTATCCGGGGGCTAGCACGCATGTTAATCCTTCTTCTGGATATTTTGCAAGACCTGTTGCAAGGGCTTGAGTTATAAAACCTTCAAGTTCCATCAGTTGCTGTTCAGGTCACAAAGTGAGGAAAGGAGAACGGAGATGAACCCACACTGAACACGCATTTACACCTTACATAAAGGTTTTCACCATTCTGGTGAGGCAGAAAGTACATTATCTGGGCCAGGCATCTCTGGGGGACCTGTGTCTCACTTGTGCCTGTGTGCCACGGTCATTGTACCGTCTTGTTCTTTCTTGAGCCCTCTGAGTTCAGCAAACTGTTTCACTCCTCAAGAGACTGAAGGCTTGCATGGGGCAAGGAAGGAGTAAAACAGACCAAAGCGACCCTGTCCCCCACACCTGTGTAGAAGTGGGAAGCAGACAAACTAATTTACAGCCTGGTAGAGGAAGGACAAAAGGTCCATGAAGAGCTCTTCCTTGCTGTAGATCCTGAGAGCAGAGCAGCGTGGAGGGAAAGCTGATGGCCCCGAGGAGAAGCTGTTCCTCGTGTACCCTGCTCCCAGGAGCTGCAGCTGCCTCTCATTTTGCCCGCTTACACATGTGCACGCTGGAGTATTTTACCCAAAAGCTGCCTTTCAGCACCTTTTGAAAAGCTCTCCAGTTTCACTTTGAGGTAGGCTAAGTCCATCACCTCCCCGGTGAACTCTCTCAGTATCTAAATAGCTCGGCAGTTAGCGGCTCTTATTTCAAGGCTGGAGCTGTCTAAATCCAGCCTCCAGGCATCGGACTGTGCCGAATGCTTCCCAGCTGCTGGATGGAGCAGCAGTCCCGCACACGAAATGCTTTCTCTGTGT